GCCCTTCCTCATCCGTGACCTCCCTGGAGCTTCATCCCTCTGGATCTAGTGCGCAGGTATCATTAGTTCAAATTTGCAGGTGGGGAAACTGAGGCCCAAGAATTTTGTAAAACTGAGGCCTGAGGCAGAGGCTGAACTGGGGGTGGCCCAGGGCACTCTACAGATCACCGTCTTCCCTGGTTTAAGGAGAGGGGACTGAGGCAGGACACAGAGACTGGCCTACCATCTGGGCTGCAAGGACAGTGGAAGGTGAGATTTTGGCTGGGACAGATGTTCAGGCTGAGTGGCATTGGGGGAGGGGATCTGAGGAAAGAGGATAAATGGGTCAATGTCACCAGTTAAAGGAAGGGCTTAAAGTGACCTAATTTTTCTTCCTCACCTTCAAATCTGGAAATGCCCAGAGTCGGTTAGTAAGGAATGAGGAAGAGAAAGCTCCCGACATCAGCGGGTCAGTCCCGGCCCCCCATGGAGAGCGGGTGAGGAATAAAGGGAGTCCTTAGGGCAGGACTGGGTTTTGGCTAGCAAGGCTGTTTTTCCAGTGCCTTTAGGGCAATGGCAGAGCTCGAAGGGCCTGTTTGCAGAGGAACGCTGACAGCCTGCCTAGCTGGGGCAGGGGTGGCAACATCCAGGACAGCAGGGCTGGGAACAGCTGTCTTCCCACCTCGGCACTCACCAGAGCCCCTTCCAATGGCCCCACTCTGGGCTTTGACCCCACCTAGGGAGCTCAAACTCCCTTCATCAGGGCGGCTGCCCTCTCATGACCGCTGTGGAGGTGACTACCTGCCTGGCACTAAGTAGACTGTGTGGATGACTTTGGAAGAGCCCCACTCTGAGCTTCCAGTTGCTGGTGCCCTTCACCTGCCCTGGGTGACTCAGGCAGGATGCCTGGTCTCCAGTCCTGGCTCTGCCACACATCTTCTGTGTGGTCGCTGAGAATCCTGGTGCCCCATGAAACTGCCCTCTGGAGCTTCTCTTTTGTCACTCCCCAAACTTATATAATCCTAGTTAATTTAATAGGTGTTAGTCCTCATGAAGGTGTTGATAACAATTGGCTCACTGAGTTTTCTTCAGGGTGTTAGGTGAATGGTGAATGAATGAACGTGTGCCTTAAAACAGTGGTCCCTGATCTTTTTGGCAGTAAGGATCAACGCTTCTATAAGAATCAAATGCCTGATGATCCCAGTGGAGCTGAGGCGGTGATGCTAGCTAGCTCTGTAGAGCGGCTGCAGATACAGATAAAGCTTGGCTTGCTTGCCTGCAGCTCACCCCCTGCTGTGCGGCCTGGTTCCTAACAGGCCATAGACAGGTACCAGTCCAGAGCCCGGTGGTTGGGACTCCTGCCTTAAAAGAAAGAAGTGAGCAGAGGTGTCTCAGGCAGGGCATGGGAGTATTCAGAGGCATAGGGTGAAGCAACTGTTTAGCCCTGTCTCCTTCACCAGTTTGAAAAGACCTGTGAGGAGGGTATGAGGCAGAATGAGAGGGAGACAAGCCACATGGGGATGTTGCAGGATGTTCTGGGGAAGGAAGAAAGCCACCTCTAGTAACAACAGCCCTTCTTAGAGCATAGATCTTTTTTCGACCGGGAGGGCAGGGCTCCCATCTTGAAGGCGCCTTTTGAAGGTGTGATTCCAATGGTGGGAAGAGAGGGGAGAGGACAGGGCTTTCCAGGCAGGACCATTAAATCCCAGTGGGGGCCTGGCTCTGGCTGAAAACCATGTGACACTTTTCCCTGAGTGTACCAAAAGTTTCTCCAGATAAGTCAGGGTTGGGGATGGAGTCAGGTGACTGAGGCGGATGACAGCAGATTTGCTTCAGTGGACTGGGAGTGGGTGGAGACCACTGGGAAAGGGACAAGGAGGAGGTGCCATGAGCTGACGGGTGTCTAGGGCAGCCTGAGTGGCAGGCGTGGGGTGTGTCAGAATGGAAGTTAGGAGGTGGCACAGGATTCAGAGAGAAGAGCCCTGGGCCAGGCTGTAGGTCTGCCTGCTCCTCGGTTGTACAGCTACCACAACACAATACTTTTATGAGCAGGTCCTTTTACTGAGTGTAGCAGATGCTATCAGTGCACCACCTACAAGCCCAGGCCTACATACAGGTCATCTGCAAATACTTTTAGAACCTGCCAAACTTCTTGGGTCTCCCCTGGGGCATTTTTAGCTGGGGAAGTGAGTGTGGGGCAGGCTGGAGGTAGAGAGTTAATACCCCTGGGGCAACCTTCAACCAAGGAGGCTCCTGTGTCTCTGGATAAATTCTCCAGCTTTGTGTCTCTCAGTGGGACAGTTACCAATCCCCAGGCATGTTCTGATCTGAGAAGACTCCAGAGGAATGAAACCTAAGTCAACCATGGGGAAAACCTACTTACATCTGTATGCTTTATTTGCTTTTCTCTCTCCCTTGTCTCACGTGCCCACTCCCTCACCCTGCTTCTTGGGATCACCTAAATAAACTAATTGCACCCAAGTCTTTGTCTCAGGGTCTACTTCTGAGGGAACCCCAACTAGGACAGTGAACAGTAACTGAGTTTCACACTGTGTTTAGTGCTTTTTCACATCTATTGCCTTGTTTAATTTTCTTAACATCCCCATGCAGTAGGTACCATTAATCCAATTCTACAAATGAGGAATAAAGAGGTTGATACAGGAGGATTCAAACTCAGGTCTGTCAATCTACAAAACTCGGTCTTTAGCTCTACGGCCTCTCTAATCTAATCCTCTCTGGGACTTATCTTTTCATCTACAAAATGAGAGATGAGCTCTTGAGTTTGAAGGGAGTCAGTGTAGCCAGTTTCTCCTGCAGCTAGGCATGATCAATGGGATGTAAGCAATGTATTAAAAGAGAAAGGGCTTTACAGGGACGGACTCTGCTGGGATGTCCATTCTTTTTGCCCTCCCTCTTCTCTTCTTGGAATGTATACATGAAGGCTGGAGCTTCAGCTGCCACTTAGGGCCTGGAGACAACAATGAAGTGTTCTAAGGCACAGTGTTAGGTAGGTGCTCAGAAGCTGAGATGAGTAAGACTTAGAGACCCTGCCCTAAAGGAGCTAATTATTCAGTGAGAGTAGCTGGATGTGGACATAGAAACCATAATAGGTGAAAAAGAGATCAGAGTCAGGAGAGAACTGTAAAGTACTTTGAGAGCTCAAGGAGGGAGAGACTTCTCCTTGGGGGAATCAGGGACAGTGTCACAGGGGAGGCTATTTCGAAATAATGGTGAGGATCTGACATAATGGGATGGAGGAGTGGGGGGGTGGGATCCAGTCAAAGGTTAAGAATCTGAACAAAGAGGTGGAGGTGGCGTAGTGGGGGCTTGGGGAGGGAACTGTACGCTCACTTCAGGAAGACAAGGTTCGCAGAAGGAAGTTATGGCAGGTAAGGTATGTGGGGCTTAAATGCGAGCTAAGGAGCTCTGTTTATCTGGCAGCAGAGGGGAGACTGCGCAGAGCTGTGTTGTAAGATTACTCTGGCTGCAGAGTGAAAGACAGGAGACAGAAGATCAGTGGGGCAGGGAGACATGCGAGAAAGCTTTCAAAACTATCCAGGTGGATCTGATCGACACGGTGCTAGTAAGAAAGGAAAAAGGAAGAGAGATTCAGAGATTGACAGAGTGAGCGCACAAACTCACAATTTAATTAGCTTCCTGGGTTGCCAGGGGATTACAGGGGAATTAACAGAGCTGAGAGTCTAGGGACCTTGCTGGGAGTTGAGGGGAAGTTAATGAGAAAGACAACAATATGCCCCAGGGAGAAATGAAAGAAGAAGAATCATTAGCCAAGCAGAGATGCCGGCAGGAGAAACAGATGTCAGGGTGCTGAGTCCCTGCCTTCCT